ACACCACTAGACACTATACTAGGAGTGATCTCCTCATCGTCATCATCAAACAAGATATTATACTTAAAGAGAGATTAATCAATCAAAGATGAAGAGTTACATGTAATCTCATTCTCAAAAAAGACAAATGTCATTGTTCAAGGAAGTTTCAATCACAATTCACATGACATCTATGAGCAAAACAAGTATAGGAACTAATTGGCAACAAGAGCTATATCAAAGCTAAAACCTCCGATTAAGAATCTCAACAAGCACCTAATGTATAAGATCCACACAAGAGAAATGAATTCTCAATCACAAACCTATCACTAGATAACCCTCAAGAGGAATGATTCTCAAACAAACAATCTCTTCAACATTTCCTAACAATTATGACCTTAGCCTAAAAGTCTCTCTAGAGTTACACTCAATTCATGAGAATTTATCATATCAAAATAATCTTTAAGTCTAAAGGAGCTATTCTCCAGTATTATAGCCTAAACTAGCTATTACATAAATACTCTTAATGGACGAAGGGTCTTCTTAGGCTTGCATTTCAAGAATAGCCATTTTTGCATTAACAACCTCTTTCTCCTTACTTTGAGTAGTCTTCCACATAGATCATTGTACTTCTACTTTAGCACATTCTCGAGCTCCATGCCTTTGTTTCAAGAACCCTCCAAGCCTCTAAGGTAGCGATTCAATGACAAGTGTACAAACTCTTTAGCTCAGCTTCTTGTGTAAGGTTTTGATGAAACTCGACTTGCAGCAGGCACTATTCCGTCAAGTAAGTACTCGCCTATTCAAGTTAACATGATAAGCTTATATATCTACAGAATCAAGATAAACAAGAGCACACGCTTGAATTTCATGTATAATTATCTAGCAAGACAATTAACATATGCCTATCCTAGTAGTGAATTTGTTCCCTGGCCTATTGATGTTTGGGTTCAAGACTCACTCAATCTGAGTTCATCTATAGATTCATAATAGTATTTTATTATTCACTATGCAACAAAATAATTAAGAGCAGGATTAAATGAACAAATCAATATGATATAATCAGTGTAATAACTCTAACCACATTCATGAACTATCCATAGCATTAGAACAAGCCACTAATTGTAGTCATGGCAACAATCTTTTTTTTAGAATTTTTTTTATCACCGTATGGTGGTGAGATCTTTTTATATAGATGAACAAAATTACAAAGTTTAGGGGAGCTTAAGCTAGACCCGCTGTTCCAAATCGCTATCAATAGTTGCTTCGCAAAAATTAAGATTCTGGTAAAAAATATACAAATTTTGCACAAATTACAAGCCCAACGTGTTAGAAAAAATTAGCTATACAATCAACTGAATCAGTTCTATACAAAATAATTCTTCCTCTACTTATGCCTTAGGGACTCCATTTGTATGAGATCAAGTTTGTAATGTCCGATGGCTATCGATGATAGGTGAGCATGTGCCAAAATAACCAACTCCTCATTCGTAATACTCCATTTTGTCAAGGCATCTGCAACGAGTATATTAGAAGAAATAATGTATGCATTAGCTTCGTGTATTAGTAGTATATCTTAGCTTGTTTGTACACCTTTTCAGCTTATTTATAACTAACAATTGCATTATTAGCTATATATACTCTATTTTGTATTGATGAGGAGTGTATTACTAATACATAGAAATCTATGGTATTAGTAATGCAAGAAGATTTAATGCATGTATTAGACTGTTTAAAACTCAATTGCCCCTCAAATTTTTTTTACATGATCTTTTCCATCATATTTGTGAAGGGTGTCTTTGTAAATAAATGGGATAAGGGTCTGAAAAATACCTCAACTTTGGTCGGATTTGCTGTTGCGATACTAAACTTTCATGAGGACCTATTACCTCCCTAGACTATTTAATACCATATTTTAAACATATATATTTGTCCACGTGGACATAAAAAATAGTGCAAAATTATAAATAGTAATGTGTCCACGTGTGCACATATATACCTTTAAAATACACTATTAAATAGTTCAGGGGGTAAAAAATACGGTATTAAATAGTCTAGGGAGATAATAGGTCCTTATGAAAGTTTAGTATCGCAACAACAAATCCGATCAAAGTTGGGTATTTTTCAAACCCTTATCCCTAAATAAATATTTTTTTTAAAACTATGCATTACATGTTATTTTTTATTCACCAAATCAAACAATGCATATGAAACAATATCTACATAATTAATCCAAGCATAACTAATTATAATACAAATACTACTAATACACTCTATTAAACATAATTCGTATACTCCCTATCGACCCCTATTAGTCCTTATACAAGTATTACTAATATACTCTTTGGCTGCTTTTTCCTTGGTCATTCCACTCAAAAGCTGTCCAAGTTCTTCCTCACTCTTTCTAACGCTCATTCTTGTTACTTAAGTGCTTTAAGAGATAAGGGTTTAAAAGGATTTAATTAAGAACAAATATGGATATTTTTGGGATATTAGTCTTTACATTTAGCATTTTTAGTATTTAGCTTAAGGTACACAGTGTTTAGTTGTTAGAGGTTTCATAGACAAATAGTTAGTATGCTCATATGACATAGTCATACACTTCAACATGATTGATCATGGTCACAGACTTCAACATGATTCAAAAATTAGCTAATAAAGCTGATTATGTTACCGATGTTGTGGAGAAATGCAGCATGCAGGAGATTATCGAGCGTTATCAGAGGCATACTAAAGATATTCAGTGTGAAAATTCAGCCATGGAACAGAATAATATGCACAATTTGAAGCATAATACATCAAGTTTGATGAAGAAGATTGAGTTTCTTGAAAAATCTAAAAGGTTTAACTTTTAATCCTACTTTACAACCTAATATTGTAATTTATTTGATATAAAATGGAAGTAATTATATGAGTATATTATATTCCATTTGCATTAGGAAGCTCTTAGGAGAAAGTTTAGAATCTTGCAGTCTTGAAGAACTTCAACAGATGGAACATCAGTTGGAACGGAGTATCAACATCATCCGCGCAAGAAAGGTTAATTTTCTTTTAAAAGAAACATCACGCGATATCTATATCTATATCTATATATAAATGAAGATTAGCATAAACTTGACACATCATTCCTTGTTTGTATTCAGATGGAAGTCTTTAGGGAACAAATTGTGAGATTGAAAGAAAATGTAAGGCCACACTGACTCATTTAATTATTTTAAGCTGTAATTCCTATGAACATGGACAATTTCTTGTATATAAAATGGAGCCTTATGCATATATCATAATTGGAGCATGAATAATATCATGTAAACTAAGAATTATGACGAGTCTGACTTTGATATCATGATAAGAAATGAATCATGGCTTAATTAACTCAACTTTAATTTAAAAATTAGCACATGAGATAAGGATTGTTGAACTCAATTATATATAGTATACAATTACAAGTTACAATGTTATTTTTATTTACATATTATTACTACAATTTAACCATTTATAATCTATTTTTTTAACTTACCATATGGTTTTAAAAGTTACTTGTTGTTATAGTTCTACTTAACTTGATAATATAAAAATTATTATCAAGTTTACATCACTTGATTTTGCACAACACATCTTATTGCAAATACAATGCTATGTGAGAGAAATTTATTAATTATTATTTCCAGGTGAAAGACCTTGCATCTGAAAATGTTATGTTGTTAGAGAAGGTACTTTTTCTTTCTCTCCATCTCAACCTTTAAGTTAAGGTAAAGATACGACACCTCTCAACTGGAGAGTGAACATTTCTAAATGGGGGCCCAACATCGGTGAACAACAAATTGGGATGACCTGGCTCTGATATTATGTAAAGATATAACACATGGGCCCAACTCAACCTCAAAAGTTAGCTCATATAAGGGGAGGTTTGTCCGAGTCCATATAAGGAGACTAAATTCTCATCCCTCTACCGATGTAGGACTTCTTAATAGTTACTATTTTAAAAAAATGGGGTAGGGGAAATAGCGGGCTGAAGATTATAAGACAGAGAATCAAACCATCATCATTAAGTGAAAGTTCAGATAGCCAACTAGAACTTTCCTTCTTCCAAGTTGAACTAATTTGCTTGTCCTTTTTGCTTTAAGTGTGGAGGTCTTGAAATGCAACAAACATCAGGTGGAGAAGACGTTTCTATAGTGATCAGTAGCGAAAAATCGGATGTAGAGACTGAATTATTTATTGGACTACCAGAGTCATGCAGAACAAAGCGTCCCTAAGTTAATCAACGCCTCACTTTGATTATGTCGTGAAGCTGACTGAATCATATCCATAAACCCGAAAATGAAACGTTGTTCGTTTCCTCTTTGGCCTTCGAACCACTTTGGTCCTTATAAATAATGTAATTATGTATACATATATATAATGAAGTTGTGAAATAATATTCCAGTTGAATTGTTTTGCACTTAAGCTAGCTTGAACTTAATAATAATTAAGGCCCATGAGTGTTTATTTCCCTTTGTGGACAAATGATGGTCGGTACCAGGTATAAATTAATGGTGTAATACATAAATATGTTCTTTAATATCTGTGTTCTATAATTTTAAGTTTGTACAAGTAGACACTTAAACTTACATAAAGTTGAGCAAGTAAGTACACATGTTTTATATGGCATAATACAAATCAGCTGTCACTTGTGCACACATAGGACGTGTGTGTCTACTTGTACAAATTTAAGTGTATGTATGTTTACATGTACACACCCAAAATTTGAGGACATAAAATATCAGTTGAAGTCAAGTTAGATGACATATTTATATGACATAATTAAAAGTAACAAGCTAAAAATGGACCAATGTTTTGAAATTGGTAGATGCACCTTGTATTATATATATATATACATAAAAAGGAATTATATCCACGTTTTGTTACAGGGATAGCAATATATATATAATAATAATGGACTAAAAAATTCCACAATAAATTTTTTACATAAGTGGTGCAATGTATCATATTTTTAGGAGGCTTTTTTTGTATGTTTGGTGGGAGTGGGGGTGCATGTATCATTTGATCAATTAGCAGTGGCACCATCCAAGATTTTAAGTACTGCTTCTTTTGTAGGCAATGCAGGAATTGCTCCTTTTTCTGTTACAGTTATTGCTCCACATCCATTTGCAAATAGGAGTGCATCCCTCAATATCTTCTCATCCTGTGCGCCGCAACCCAAAAATTAATAATTAAGATTTAACTTATATGCACTGACTGACTCACGATGTAAATAATTGCAAATGACGATATAATAGTACCATGTAAATATCTGGATCTGAGGCCATACTGTTGAGAAGTCCACCAACAAATGCATCACCTGCTCCTGTGGTGTCAACTGCTGTAACTTTAACGCCATTCACTCTTCCATGAAAATTCTGAAATAATTAAGTTACAAATTGTTAGTATTTTTTTGCGCGATAAAAAATATTTATACAATTAAGTCAGTAACCATAACGGAAGTTACAGTGACTAATAATTACCTTAGTATAGTATCTGCAACCATCTCCGCCTTCAGTTACGAGCAAAAGTTTAAGGTTGGAGTGGAAAAGCTTAGTCATGACCACATTGTCATCATAAGCATCTTCACCATTTGTTAAAAATGTGATTTCATCTTCACTTACCTGAAATTAATAACAACGGTGAAACCTGATATGCTAATTTAAGAATTGTAATAAAGTAATCAACCCTTCATATCGTAATAAACTGGTATTAAGACATAGTAATTAATATCGATTGTACTTGCCTTAATAATGTCAGCTTGGTCCCAAATGCTTAAAATTCCTTCACGAGCAGCCTCGGCGGATGGCCATAAGGGCAACCTTAGATTTGGGTCATAAGAAAGAATGCAGCCTGCATTTTTAGCAGTCTCCATGGCAGCAAGATGAGCTGACCTACATGGTTCAGCAATCAAAGAGATTGAACCATAGTGAAAGATTCTTGCCTGTAAAAATGAAACAAAATAGTTAAATTATGTTTTGCAATCTAAAACATACTTGAATATTATCTATGCATATCGCACTAATTTACCTTTTGAATGAGATTTTTATCGAGTTCTGCCTCAGTTAGAAGCATATCAGCACTTGGATTGCGGAAAAACATGAATTCTCTCTCACCGTCTGCTTTCAATGTAACAAACGCCAATGCTGTTCTAGCATGAGTATCAAAACGCATACCAGAATTGTCAACATTGTTCTGTTTTAATATATCAGCTAACATGTAACCAAATTCATCTGCACCCACCTACAAATAGTTGAAGATAGTTAGTTCAGATGTGTTTTTGATCGTTAACTCTGAATTAAATTAAATGTGTGTACGATACCTTGCCAATAAAGGCGGAAGAACCTCCTAATCTTGCAATACCAACTGCAACATTAGCTGGTGCCCCGCCAGGAGCCTTTTTAAAACCAGGTGCTTCTGCAAGTGAAACTCCAGATGCTGTAGGCACAAAGTCTATCAACAGCTCCCCAAAACATACAACCAGGTGATCATTTTCCTGGACTGACTTTTTCTTCATCGATAGAGATGTTGGTGAACCTACATACGCACAATTTCTGTCACACAACGTTGATTAAAAACATCCACAATATTCACTTTATACTTTGCATCAAAAATATTGGATTCAAATGAACTTGCGGCCTGAAAGTTGCATCCACACTCCTAATGATTGTTGAAAATATAATTAACTAATAAAAAATGTGTTCTCTCTAACGGCTTAAGTTTTTAAATGAGATGGTCACTCACTTCAATATGGTATTAAAACAGGCAGAGGTTTTGAGATCGAATCTCATAGCCACCCATCAAAAAGAATTTCCACGTTTTTGGCCCATGAAAAAGAATCAGGCCTGCACATGAGAGGGCGTGTTGAGAATAGAAAGTTTTTAAATGAAATAATCACACACTTCAACAATGATCACACTCTCTTACGTGGTGTTTGTTAGATTAAATTCTCAATTGTGGCATTTGATCATTTATTTATTTATTTTAGAATTTCTGGCTCTGTCACCATGATCATCCATGGGAATTAATGCAAAAATACCTTTTATGGGTGTCAAGAATTAAAAGAAGATGAGATTTTCGTTAATAAAAATTGAGGAATTAGTGACGGACAAAATTTTATAGCTAAACAACAAAAAATTTATGCTAATTCGATGTAGCTACAAATTAGCAACGAAGTTTAATTAGCTAGGAATTGTCGATAAATTCGGTAGAAAAGAAGGAGTCCTTACATATAGAGCTCTTGCTTTTATTGAGTTTATTAGAAGAAGAGCTCTTAGATAGCTTGAAGCTGCTTCTCATGGATCGGTCAAGGATAACAGGGAAACAACAGGCCATTTTCGACCCTTTTTTGCTTGACCGATCCATTTTTATTTTTACATATAAAATATAAGAAAAGCAAGCTATGAAAATTTAATTTTATGTTATTCATTCTATATATAATCAAACTTTAACCCTACTACTTAGGATATCTAGTGGTTTTTCAAATTCTTACCACAAAATTTTTACTCTACACAAGAAAATGACCGGTTCTGTTGAGCAGATTATATTTTCATGAGCGAACACTTGCCATTACTGGCCTAGTTTTTCTATTAATGACTCATTTTTTTATATCCATATAATGGATGTTATAAGTTGGACAAATTGGCCTACAAAAATGCTTAGATTTATCTACAAATTTTTTCTTTGCGCGGACTAGCCGTATTTAGGGTAGTTTTTAATTTTTATCTTTTAAATTTGTGGTTTTTATTTTTTATTCTTTATTATTTAATAAAAATTTGTACGGCAAAGTATCCTCAATTTTTAAATTTGTTTTATATAGTTTCATTTTAAAAAAAATAAAATGAAATAAAAATAAGAAATTCAAATAATGATAAGCAAATTAAATAGATTTATAAGAGAGATTTAAAATTCAAATTAGTTGTTGAATTAAAATAGTAAAAAAAAAATCACTCATGAGAAGGAGTGAATATATTCCTGAACTTTGAAAGAAGGATCAAACATACTTTTACCAAAAAATAAATTTAAAATTAACTTTTTTTTACTTTATTCATGCGAAGGGGTATATATAAGTCATTTATGTCATCATCCTTAAATTATACCCCAAACTTAAACTACATCTTTAAAGTATCATTCTTAGCATAAAACATCCTTCAAGTATTTAAAAGTGAACAATTTTCATCCTTCTACTTGAGTTTATCAGAAAACTAACAAATCACACAAAAATCAAGTCATCCCTTCGTAATTATTATTCTTAGAGACGCCAAAAATACCATCATCAACTTTTTCGGTAATTGAGTTTAGCATTATGCAGAATCTTTTAATTTGACAGTTTTTTTTCATTTATTTTTCATGTAATTTGATATTAAAAATATTATTAGTTGAAATATGTTTCTTCTCAATTGAATTGCTAGAAGCGACGTTTGTTGGAGACTTCTGCTTCTAATAATGTAAAATGAAACTCAAATGCAGGATGTGATCAATATTTTGATCACTTCAATATCAAATTGACCCACAAATCTATTGATCTAAATACAGTTTGACATTGAAAAAGGTAAAGATAATTAAGCTCCATCTTCTTTCTGTTACTAAATGAGAAAAAAGCGCAAATCATGTATCCTCACACCTTCCAAACATTTTTTATTTCAGTAAGCAATGGTGTCTATGATTTTTAATATTTATTTCAGGAACTTTTTATAGCAGGTAATGAAATTATGCAAGAAAACTTTTGTTAATAGTCACGTGAACTGCTCATGTTTTTGTAGGATCCCTTAGTTTTTTTACCATATCTAACAGAAGGATAGAAATTGTTAACTTTCAAATACTTAGAGGATGTTTTTTTGCCAAAAAAAAGATATTTTAAGGATGTAGTTTAATTTAGGAGTATAGTTTAAGGATATTTTTTACCAAAAAACTCTAAGATATATGTGAGCCATTTTTTTTATAACAAGGTGCATATCAGTTCTAAGTCTCAAAGTAGAGGAGTATATATCAAGCTTTTTTTTTCAAAACATTAGTGTCAATTATATCCTCTGTAATCTTTTGATTTCCAATTTTATGTATAATTTGTATAAAATGAATGTATAATCAATGTATACTTGACATATATATATATTTGTTAATTATACAATTATTATGCTAATTACACAATATATAAATGAGAAGCATTAAAAAAATTGACAAACTTGATAAAAAAATATTGTCTTCAGTAGTAATCATTGTTTTAACCAGCTTTCATCTTTTCTTGAAATTCTTCCAAGAAAGTATTATGCAAAATCATATTTGAAAATGAACGAGCGAAATAAATATCAACTATCATCATACTTTGATCGATCGAAAACTATCTAAAGAGGATAAACATTTTTGCATGTAAGTGAAAGAAGAGAAAATTGTGAAAAGAAATTGTAAGGAAAAAAGAGAAATGGTAATTAATTAGTAGAGAGGGAAGTGAAGTTGAGACCTAATCAAAAAAATTAAGTAGTAAAACAAATATGTGATATGTATCTATTATGCATCACTATAGTTTGAAAGAATTATAATGTGTAACTAATTTTTTATAGCAATTTTCTCTCTTCTCTCTTCTCTCTTCTCTCTTCTCTCTTCTCTCTTCCTCTTTCTCCCTCTCTCTGCACTCTCACTCGCCTCTGTCCTCTCTCTTTCGCCTCCTCCTTTCTCTGTTAATAAAATATAAATGTTTATAGTCATTGATAAAAATACAAATGATAATTATCAGCTATATAAATTAATTTATGTGATACAAAATATAAATATACATGGCAATAAATGAATATATATATACACGCAAGGCAACAAATACAAATGAGAACAAATAAATGTTCTTTTTCAGTGATACAAACCATAAACATACATGACAAAAGATGCATACAAATGAATATTAATGCAATTGTTACGACATACAACATTGGTACAAATTATATTTCGTTAATACACTTGAACTTGATATAACATTGTTATATATAATTTGTATTTATTTATACAATTGTATTCATTGATATAAAATTTTAGAGGTGTCAAAAATGAACTCAGTAATAGGTAACCCGCCCAGAATTTTAAGGATTGGGCTCAAGATAATTTGAATTGGGTTCAATCTCAACTCATTCAAGTCCTAACTCATTTTAAGAGTATCCTCAATTGAGCCCAATTTAATCTCTAATTTCAACCCCTTTAAGACTCTTTATTTGCATTGATGTAATATATGTTCCTATATTGAAGGTATGAATTACTATTTATTTTATATCTTTAAGAATTTATATATCCATCTCTAACTTCTTTTTTCAATTTTTCTTGAGTTGAAATTCAAATTGTGGTTATAAAACTTAAATAACAATATATTAAAATTATTGTGATTAAGCGGGTCAAATTGAGTGGGTCAAGGCCTAACCCGTTTTAAAGCCCATTTGAGCCCAACCCAATTGAGCCCAAAGCAAACTTGGGCAGGTCAGAACCCAACCCAATTTCTCTTTCAACCCATTTTAATATCTCCAATTTCAACACAACCCACTCATTTGACACCCCTATAAATTGTATTCAGATACAAATGATATTTGTTAATACAATTATATTTATTGATACTGATGGCAATATGCTATTCCACAAGAGTTGTTGGATGGAAAAAGATTTGTGAGATAAATTTGCACCAGGATACAATCAAAATGGTTGGCTTAAACTTGAGGGCAAATACACGATAGCAAGCGGGTATACATGGAGAAGAGGCAAGCTAGAAGAGTGGACATGAAGCAGGTGGATTTGGTGTAAGGGAATTCTTCCTAAGCACAATTTTATTTATTGGTTAGCCCTTCATTAAAGATTACTCACCAAAAAGAGGCTCTATAGAATGGGAATCTGTCACAACAACAAATGCAACTATGTGGGGATGTACTAGAAATAGTGGAGCACATTTATTTTGCATGTCCATTCTTAAAAAGATGCATACTCGAATTACTTCAGTGGCATGGAAAAGGAATGAGATCCAATTGGATTACAAGGGAATATACAGAAGGTTGGATAGATCCACAAGAGGTCGAGGCTTGAAAGACGTGGTACTGGCAGCATTAGTGGCAGTGGTATATCAGATGTGGAAGACACGTAACTCTTCCCTATGGGATAAAAGCATCCAACCATCATGGCGAATTATGGAACAAATAAAACAAGAATGCAGGCTACGTAAAATAACTTTCTTGGGCAGTAAACAAGGAAGAACACACATGGAATGGTTAGATACAATACTTAAGTAAAATAAAGAGTTGTATAGAAGTAGGATACATAGTTACTGGAGTAGATTTAATTCTATTTGGTGCTAAGAATAGGGGTGTACATGACCGGGTTGGTTCAGGTTTTTCAAATATCAAACCAAACCATTTGTGTCGGATTTTTAAATCTATAAATCAAACCAAACCAATAAAAGTCGGGTTTTTCAACCTCAGTTTTTTTCGGATTTTCAAGTTTTTTTAGGGTTTTCCGGTAAAAGTATTCATATAAACTTATAATTTACTTATACTTCAAATATTTATTTAGTCCTACCAAAATACAACTATCTAAGGTGTTTCTTAAGAAAATAACACAAAATATGATATGAGTAATGACACTAAAATATCCAACAAAAAAAAATAATAATAATGAAATCACGTAAAACAAATATTGCAAATTAACAAGTCATACTGAAAATGATCATAATTTAAAAGTACTAAATCATGCTAAAATAAGTTTAATAAGTATTAGTTACATGACTAAATATTAAAGGAAATTAAAATTAGATTATGTATTTGAATTGTTTAAACCAATGTAAAACCAAAGAAAAAATATTCAATATTATTGTCATTCTTAGTGTTGAATTGATTTTCATTTTGTATTAGTATTAATTTAATTTTGATTTAAGCTTTATTATAATTATCAACATCTGTGGACTATAATTTTTATTGAACCATTCAGAATTCTAAGTTTCAAACTTGAAATAATATATAAAAAGATAAAAATTATGAAAAAGTATAAGAAATATTTAAAAATTATATCAAAGTAAATATTTTTATAATTTTAAAATTATATATATAATGTCGGGTTGGTTTGGTCTCGGGTTGATTTTTTTTAGTTAAAACCAAACCAACCCAATATAGTCTGGTTGTTTTTTTCAATACCAAACCAAGTCAAACCAACCACTAGTCGGGATTTTTTTTCTCGATTTGCGGTTTGATTCGATTTTCTGTTCGATTTTGTACACCCTTAGCTAAGAGTATGTAAAGACAGTGTTGGTTGTGGGGATTAATGCAATGCTTTTCTTCACAAAAAAAATTATATTCATTGATACTTATATGTACTAATTACATATATGCAATTACCCAATATATATACAAGTACAATTTGCCCTCTCCTTTCTCTGGCCCCTCTCTCCTCTCACTGTCAACAAATCGATGAGATATACAAATCAATTGTGTCTCTCTCCTCTCTCTTCCGAACCTCGTTCACTTTTCTCCTCTCTCTCCAATCTCGTTTGCCTCTCTTCTCATTTTAACATGTAGCTACAAATTGTAATTAAGGAGTAACTAAGAAGCCTAATTATGTTATAATCGCTGATTTTGAAATTTCATCACATAAAAATAGGAGTGTTAATGGTTTAAACTGTAATTAAACTTCTTTGACAATATGTATCAACTTTTTAAAGTCTATTATTTTAAAATTGTAGATTTTAATCCGAGAGAATATTATTAGATATAATTAATTAAATAAGAAACTAAATGAACATATTGTTAAGGTTCCAATAAATCAAGTTAATAAATGTCAGAGATGATTGATTCAAGACCCAAGAGTGGATGAAAACATAATTTTATTCGATAGCCACACAAATATTTATGAACTATTTTATTAAGAGCAAAATTAAATATTGTAATATTTAATTGTTTTTACTAAAATATAGAACAATATTTTATTTTATTTTTTAAAAATTAAAAAAAGCCGTAAATTTTTGTAAGTGGCCACATTAGCTCTACGTTTGTTCATATAAATATTTACCCTAGTCCTTATTTACTTTGTCTTTTTTCACGTGATATTCAATATTCACATTATTATATTAAATTTAAATTTGTGTCGAAAAATAGATATGTTAGGTATAGGGGAATCAAATCTATCTGCAAGGTCGAAAACGGCGTCGTTTTGCTTTTGCAGTACTTCATATATAACTAGAAAAACAAATATGCAAAGATAGAAGAAAATTAAGAAGGATCTGTATTTTTATCGCCCAAATTCTCAGATTCACTTTCATCTTCTCCGTTTTGCTCCATAATCAAAATTGTTTGATTACACTATCGGTTTCACCCACACAATTTCGATTAATAGTTCAGATTCCCAATTTTTTGAATTTTTTTTTGATTTTTTTGGGGTAATGAACTTCTTGTAGGAGGAGAACTCTCTGGAATATATTCCTATGTATAATCTCTCTCTATATTTCACTTTATTTGTGTATAATCTAATCTGGGTCATGTTCCGTTAGCGAGATTTTTTAATTTTTTGTTGGTTGAACAGGAAATGGCATTGAAGAGGGGATTATCTGGTAGGAACAGTGGAAATGTATCTTGTTACTCAATTGTGGTTCTTGTCTTCTGTTCATTCCTTGCTCCATTGATTTTCTTCGTGGGCCGTGGCGTGTACACCTCTACTTCAATTGGTTAGTATAAATTTTCCCGCATTGCTGATTTGTGGTTTGAAGAGTTAAATTTAAACTTGTGGAGTTGTTTATCTTCAATTTTTGTACTGTTGGATTGTCTTAATTTAGGGGCTTTTATGCTAAAATACATTTTAAGCACTTTTGTATTGTTTGGGTAAAAAAAAAAAAGAATTGCTTTTAGGCGAACTTAAGCTAAAATCTATAAGTTTATGTGTATAATCCCATCAAAACAGGCTCTTAGTACTCAACATTGGTTTGATTCAAATTTATGATTTTCTTTGAGGCTTAAATTTGTTTTAAAACTCATTTCGTGGAGTGTATTGATTCGAATTTGGTGTGATTAACTAAATTTCTTTACTTTTTGGATAATGTATGGAGTAGAGCTAAATGTGGAGAACGAGTCTGTATAGTTCTTCAGAGTAACACACTCCTTGATTTCTTAATTGAAGAATGTTATATATACTAAAAGAGCACTGTTGCTTAAGTATGGAAATCATCTGTACATTTTCCTATATTATATCTAAGATGTTAAAACTGCAGAAGTAACTATGTAACAATACTATTTTCTCTTAGCACCTTCTCTTTTGTGGCTGATGGATGCACTGGAGAATTTGTTTTTGCTAATTATAATGCCTGTCTGATTTCCTGACATCAGCCGGATAATATTACTACTAGATACTAGCTTATGCAAAGCTCTAGGAAAAAACAAAATAGAAGAAAACTTACATGTGTGTATCAAAAGATATTCAGACCTCTCCATATGGATTTAGTTGATGTCTTTATTTTTGGGGTGGGGGGGGTGGGGGGTGGGACAATTGAATATTTATTGAAATACAAAGACTGTACTATTACAATTTAGCTGATATGCAATCTTGAGCAGTTAATATGTAGAGTTTTCAGTTTAGATTCATAGGAAAAAACTTTATAATTCATTGAGTTTCTGGATAAGTTGAACTAGAAATAATGTTTGCATTACAAGTTTAACCCCTATACGAAGAGCGATATTGTAGTAAGATTACATGGGATTGTGGTATTTAAATATAGACGATTTTATTCTCTTAGAAGAATAGCATAATAGATGAAACCATAAGATGTAGAATTAAAATAGAATAGCGTGAATGTAAGCAATACCAGAGTTGTAGGTGATAGGAAGATAGTTAGCAAAAGAAAGATAAGTTCTATAGAACGATGATGAGATCAACAAAATATCATACAAGATTAAATGTTGGGACAAAGTTTCTTTATACAAGACAAGCGTTGTAGAACTATGAACGTAAGATGGATGTGCAATCATATAAGATTAGAATAGATTAGGGATTATCACATCTGTTAGAGAGTGCAAGTAGCACACAATCAATCTCTCAATCAAGTCTTAATTCCAAATTAGTTGGAGTCGGTTATTGAATTATATAGTATTATATTGGAAAAATATTGAACAATGTTGGGAAATGCTATCCTTTTTAGAAAGGCTGAAATAACTTATGGACAAATCCAAAATTGAAAATCATAAAAAGAGAAAAGAATAAATTACTTTAGGACAGAGGGACTTGTATGTTATAGTTTGATAATAAGGGGAACTGACTAGAGCCTTCCCCATAAAGGATCACAATAATGTTGTGAAATAGCGGATAGGAGTTATTTTCAAGGGTCTTTCTTTTTGTGCTCTTTATGAATAGAGGTATCTCCGTGGCTCCAAATCTAAGTACAAATCTGAATGGTTTGAACAATAGAGGAAGATGCAAAATGCGCTTTTAACTATCTGCCGCACTTGGTAAAAAAGTCAAATAAAAGGCCTATTGTTTGTGTTCTCAATACATTGAATTGGAAGCATACTCATCTCTTCTTCTAAATACCCTCAACCCCAAGAACAACCAGTGTTATCAAAGGCGCGCTTAAGCCCTGAAGTGAGGCTCAAAACTTGTTGAGCACTTCGCTTTATGTGCGCTTCAGTGTCATCATCAAGGTTCCATGGCAAACGTTTCCTTACCAATGAGCCTCTTATGAAGAAGTGATACTAAATAATTAATATTTCACTTTATCATAATTTTTTTTTCAATTTCTTTGGTCATATATTTGTCATTCATGGTTATAATTATTAGTCTTGGACTAAACATATATATTTGTATCCTTTTCTCCCTTTGCGCCTTTTTTCATTAAAGCTCACGCTTTATTTGCGCTTTGCGCTTAAAGCCCCACGGACCTTAGATCTTTTTTGAGCTTTTCACCTTTGATAACACTGAGAACAACCAAAATAATAAATTGTCTTAATCTCAAATTGGTTGGGATTTCTTTAAAATGAACTATGTATCCATTCAGTTTATTTAAATCAATAGTCCCTCACACCTAGGTTGTGAAATTATGTAACTCCTTGCTCATTTAACAAGGCACCTGTGTGTTGATGTAGTGTGTCTACATAGGCACGTCCCGACAATCAATATTTGGTAGATTACTCAAGTTAGACTATGGCCATCACCTTACAGCAACACTACTTTATTGTACTTCTAGACTGGCTACACCTTGTACGATTAATTTCTGTCAAGAAAATGATTTCCAAGATAAACTATTTTCAAGAAGGATTCTATATTTTGAGCAACATACAGAAGATCAAGACAAACTGCTTAGGCCTTAACTATTTTTTGTGTAAACAAGTAGCTAGACAGCACAAAAGATGTTTTTAATGCAATTGATCGGCTGTAATTAGATATATTAGGATTTTGTGAAGAGATAACTTTTGTGATGGAGGACTACACTTTGTTGTAGTAAACCTGTGGATATATAGAAGTAAAGTTTACCATTCTAAAAAAAAAGAGGAAGGATTCTATTTTTTGAAGAAAAACATTGTCCACTATATCATATGCACTTAAAATACTAAGAATATATAAAATTAATTCATTAGGTTCTTCAGTAGAGACTAGGTAACTTGTAGTTTTGGAATAAAACCAGTGACTAGGTTGGATGCTTGATCAGTATTATTAACAGTCATGCTTCATCGCTTGAAGCGATGTACTTTGGAGAAATATGCGCTTCAAAGTTCATAGAATGACACGCAAAGTGACTCCAACAAGAAGCAGTTGGTTCTCTGAATCTTTACTTTGAGCGGTTTTTGGTTTGAGGATTAGTTATTCAGGGATTATAATGAATAGATTAGTAATGTATGAATAAATAATGTGTGTATTAATTCTTGTTGAGTATTTGGTTCGTTGCACTAAAATTGGATATACAAGATATCATGTAAAATATTTGCTTTATATTTTAAACTAAAAAGCAATTTACAATTCTCTCCTTGGATGCTCGACTCTTGTATACTTCTTGGAAGACAAGGGTAGTTTTGTACTTTTGGTGTTTTATCCATGTAAAAGTAATACATGGATAAGTTATTCCCAGAGGCGGTGGTGCCAACATTTGAAGATTATGGGTTCGGTTTCTAGTCCTTTTAAGTTATTGGGTTCTAAATTAATATTTGTACATGCACCCATTTGGTCAATGAAGTGAGTTGAGAATGATGAGTTTTGATGTTCAATTCTCCGCAGAGGCGAAAAACACTAGGTGGTTTCTTGTCATCTATCCCAGCATTGGTGGATAGATTACTAGGCACCTGTGTTGGTGGGAGGTAGCAAAAATTCCTTAGAATTAGTTGAGGTGTATGCTAGTTGGTCCAAATACCACGGTAAAAAAAACAATAATAATACTTGTACATATTTAATAAATTGCTTAAGACAGTGTTTGGACCAAAGCTATTGTGTTCGACAGAATTTGCAAGCTATGCTTTAACTCCGTCCTTGGTTATTCCATGTTGGTGGTGGTGTAAAATAGTTCACCAATTGGTGTATTAAGTTATACGAGAATTAGTTATACATGATTCAAAATACAAATCAAACATTTAAAAAATTTATACCACGATTATTTTATCAGTCCTTCAAACCAAACAACCTTTGAGAAGTTGGATTTATATTCTGCATTATTGTGTATAGGATGCTGAAATTAGTTATTTTAATCATAGTTTGATTATTATAGTGCTAAATTCGTACATGTTTCAGCATTTTTAATTTTTCATAAATTGTGTACTTCACTTCAAAAAAGTGTATGCTTCATTTAGCGCATTTCTTTTTAAGCCCTAGGACCTTGTCAATGGTTTGCGCTTTTAGCTTTTAGAAAACATTGTCAAATACAATGTTTGGACCAAAGCTACTAGGTTCGGCCAAACTCGTAAACTATATTATAGCTCCATCCTTGGTTATTCCATGCTGTTGGTGGTATAAAATATTTCACCAATTGGCGTATCAAGTTATTCCAGGATTAGTTAGACATGATTGAAAATACAAATCAAACATTGAAAAAACCTAATACCATGATTATTTCATCAGTCTTTCAAATCAATTGACCCCTAAGGAGTTGGATTTATATTCGGCATTATTGTATTTAGGATGCTGGAGTTAATTATTTTAATCAAAATTTGATGATTGTAGTACTAAATTCATATACGTTTGAGCCCTTTTATTTATTTTTCCGCAAATTGTGCACTTCACTTCAAAAAGCATATGCTTCATTTAGAGCTTTTCACTTTAAGCCTTAGGGACCTTGTCAATGTTTTGTGCATTTAGCTTTTAACATTGTTTTTGAGGTAATTGGCACCATTTTGATTGTTGTTGGAGCTCTTCTCATAGTGAGAAAGGTAGTGACCCCTTTAGTGGTGGTTCAACGTGGGTATTGAATAGAATCTTTGTATGCCTAGACACTTGATGATGTATTTGTTAATTCACAAAAATATATGCATAAATTGTATTTAATTGTCTCGCTTATACTATCCTTTCTAAGCTTGCATAACTTGTTATAACCCAACTTTATGTTCCTTTTACAGATAATAATGATTTTTCAACTACAACAAGTAAACAGGTATCCAGCTTTGTTAAAGAAAAAATATTGGCCAAGAGCAATACTAATAATGCAGAGGTTAGGAATGAGAGTCAGACTCAAGCCTGGATATTGTTTGTTCCCATTAGTTATTACTGAAATAGATGCTGACTGATTGTTAGCATGTTGGATGTATCACAGGGAAACAAGTGGACTCAGATAGCTGCAAATGTCAGAACTGAGATCTCCAGAGGCAAACAAGATGATCTTGTAGATGGTAAATAGTTTGTTCGCATCATAGTATCTTTTGAGTGCCTCACAAATGTATGAATAACTAGATGTATTTTTTTCCAAGCAGATGATCATTCCCAGTTTCATACACCTGCTATTTTGGCCAGAAGGGTACGTTAATTATCAGCCACTTTATACTTGCATTTACTTTTGTTGCACTTCTGCTATCAGCAAAGAGAGAGAGATTGATTGATTTGAAGCGCTTAGATTCACTCACTCTCTCTCTCTCCCTCCTACCCTCTCCCTACCTTTGTCTACCTCAGCTGTTTGTGTTATTATAGTTTTTCAAGTGCTGTGCAGCAATTGAGAGAGAGGAGACATGAAAAGCGTGCTGCTGCTTTAGTGAAGCAGGATGATGAAGTAACTGTGAAGCTTGAAAATGCTGCCCTTGAACGCTCTAAGTCAGTTGACTCTGCTGTGCTGGGGAAGTATAGCATATGGAGGAAAGAGAATGAAAATGAGAATACTGATTCAAAGGTACACTTGATGCGAGACCAAATGATTATGGCAAGGGTCTATATAAGCATTGCAACAATGAAGAAGAATCCCGGCTTGGCTCAAGAGTTACAGAAGCAGCTTAAAGAAAGTCAACGTGCGTTAGGTGAAGCAATGTATGATGCTGATCTAACTCGCAGGTATCAAATTCTTTTTGACCTTTGGATACTTAACTTGTCCATTTGTCCCCGTTTCGTATAGGAAAGATTAAATCATTCATTCTCCTATGTTCAAATAGTGCACATGAGAAGATTAAATCAATGGACCAAGTGCTTTCCAAAGCTAAAGAGCAACTCTATGACTGCAATCTTGTCACGGGGAAGCTGAGAGCAATACTGCAGTCTGCGGATGAGCAAGTTAGAAGTTTAAAAAGGCAGAGCACATTTTTGAGCCAATTAGCTGCAAAGACCATTCCAAATGGTATCCACTGCTTATCCATGCGTCTGGCTATTGATTATTACCTCCTCCCTCCTGAAAAAAGAAAGTTCCCTAGAAGTGAGAATCTGGAAAATCCCAGTCTTTTCCATTATGCCCTGTTCTCTGACAATGTTTTGGCTGCTTCAGTTGTTGTCAACTCAACTATCATGAATGCTAAGGTGAGGAATTCTTTCTGACATTGTCCAGATCATCATCCACATCTCAGTCTTTTATCTCTACTATGCATGTGTGAGAGACTTTCTATATTCTTCTGTATCACTTGACGATGTCCCTAATCCTTGATAACAATCAGAAACTTTATATTTATGCATGATAAAAATGGCATACACTTTGAATTTTGATATATCTAAATGTCTTGAATGGTGCTGATAGTTACTTCTCCAGAAAGCATGTTGGCTACATATTAGAAGCTAATTTTGGATGGGCTATTGAAAGAAAAATTGCACTTATTTATTTGCAGGAACCAGCAAAACATGTATTTCATCTTGTCACTGATAAGTTGAACTTTGGAGCTATGAATATGTGGTTCTTGTTGAACCCTCCTGGAAAAGCTACAATCCATGTTGAAAATGTTGACGAGTTCAAGTGGCTTAATTCGTCATACTGTCCTGTCCTGCGGCAGCTAGAGTCTGCTGCTATGAAGGAATATTATTTCAAGGGTTCACATTCCACCACACTATCAGCTGGTTCTTCTAATTTGAAGTATCGGAACCCCAAATATCTTTCAATGCTCAATCACCTTAGATTTTATCTCCCTCAGATTTATCCCAAATTGGATAAAATCCTTTTTCTTGATGACGATATTGTTGTTCAGAAAGACTTGACAGGACTGTGGTCGGTGAATCTTCATGAAAAAGTGAATGGTGCTGTTGAAACATGTGGTGAGAGTTTTCACCGTTTTGACAAGTATCTAAATTTCTCAAATCCTCATATTGCCAAAAACTTTGACCCAAATGCTTGTGGGTGGGCATATGGGATGAACATTTTTTATCTTAAGGAGTGGAAGAAGAGAGACATAACTGGCATATATCACAAGTGGCAAAACATGGTAAGGAATTTATTGCCTTTCCATCTCTGATATATAGCTTTTCTTTACTGTTTGGGTCCCTCTACGCTGATTTTCATTAAGTGAAGTTCACTTTTAGTCTTTTACTTTGACTCAGAATACTTGGATTATATCATTTGTTCTTTATACCTATATAGTGATTGAATACATGTATTGAAATTTGGAAGTCTGCTTTTCTCCCAATACCATACCAAATACATAGAAAAATTCTTAATTTCCATGGGATCTTACTGACTAATTTTCATTCTTTTCTGCCTTGATCATTAGAATGAAGACAGGGTCCTTTGGAAACTAGGGACACTACCTCCAGGGCTAATGACATTTTACGGGCTTACACATCCACTGGATAAGTCGTGGCATGTTCTAGGTTTGGGTTACAGCCCAAGCATTGATGGGTCAGAAATTGAGAATGCTGCCGTGATACACTACAATGGGAACATGAAACCATGGCTAGAGTTGGCAATGACAAAGTACAAGTCATACTGGACCAAATACATTAAGTTTGATCATCCATACATTCGTGCCTGCAAACTTGGTGAATGAAGGAGGGATGAATTTTAAAGGTGCAGTTTGGTGTGGTGTCTGCTCTGCACGCGCAGTCACATTTCCATGATCTTCTAATGACAGAAGAGCTCCCATATACAGCACTATTCTCTTGTCTCCAGTATGCAACATCCCCTGAATTGTTTATTCTTTGCTGTGTTCACTTATATTCATTGTTCGATTCTGATGTCTGCTGCCTTTTTCACCAGTAGCAGACCTTTTCGGCATGGAGACTTATAACTAGGGTGAAGGAAAGTTTGTAATGTCCTGAATCACAGTATATTCTTTGAACAATAAATAGTCTCTATTGTTTGAATTGAATCAAAGTGGTTTTTGCAAGTCTAAGCACTTGGGAAAACTTGTATTTCACATTTCTGCAGTTGAAGAAATACAATTTCTCTTATATTGCGATGCTTGTCATCGGTCTTACTGCCACCAATTCGTTTAATTTCTTTTGTCATCTATTTTAACAATAATAAAAAAGGTTATTTTAACATCTATGATAATGTCTGAGGATTTTGAATTTGATAGTTTCATGTTATAAGTGCAAAAGTCTAGTTGATGTTCATGGTTCTAAAGTTACTTTTGCATGTTGTTCAAATTAGTATTGTTGTTCATGTTTCAATCCTCTTGCTACACCAATATTCTGAATTCCTTTATAATTTATAGGATGACATTAACTAGACACCTAGAGTTGTCAATACGAGCTGTGCTAATCCATATAGGCTTTGAAATTTGATGGGTCAGGCAGGACTGACTCATTTTTTGTGGGCCAGAAAAAGGTCAGCCCAACTCACAAGTATGTGGGCTACGGGTTGTGTCGGGTCAACCCACTTTTTTTTTTATAAAAATATATCTTTTTTATATAATTTTTTTTTTTATTTGACCCACGAGCTAGCCCTACCTATATTTCTCAAGCCCCACAAATCAGAAGGTTTATTCAAGCCAAGTTAAAAACTATTTTCTTAAATGAGCTTCAAAAATCTTAGTCCAATCCTATCAAAATCACGGGTTGGGCCGGACCTAGCCTATATTGACGGCCCTACTAGACACGGATGATTAAAATATAGAAGAAAATATTAAAGTAATAATGATTGAGAAGTTAAAATAAGAAACTGATTTTGTCAAAGTCTAAACTTTTTTTTGAGTGTATAGGCTCTTAAACCATTATAAATGCAAACCTCTGTCACAAAATTGGCATGGAGGGATTGTAACAACATTTCAGACTATGACACGTTAAAGTTGGTATCTTAAGTTGTCACATCTTATTTTGTGGGACGAATAGAAGAAAAATATTTGACTCATCAAGTTGTAATATTGTACTAACACAAAATGAGACAATCTCCTATGATCATTTACAAATATATGTGCCGAATTAAAATGAGATGAAAAGCAAATATGTATCGAAGTAAGGATTCATATTTAGCCTAGTTGAGATTGAGAAGTTGTAGTTTGCATGACCAACTTAATTTCCATCTTTAGGAATAAGCATCATTATCACATTGAATCAACATATAGTATCAAACACTAAGATCTAACTCATCAAAAACAACTAATCATTATAGAAAATCTATATATACTGCAAAAAGGGACTGCTGTATATACATGATACTATTATTAATCTTGATGAACAACACTTGCTGGAGGAGAGTGAGAGTCACTTTTCTTGTGATTGGTTGACTGTCCTGTGAAGGTTCTTCCCATAAACTTTTTGGTTTTGTTTAGTCCACTTCTTACTACCCTTACACCAGCACCTAGTCCTGCACCAATGCCACTTCCTGCCGCGCCAGCACCTGAAGCAGCTAAAGCTGCTGCACCATCAAGGGCTTCCATTGAGCTTCCAATAACCCCTTCTGCTTTTAGTTGCTTCCTTTCTTCTATGACCCTCTTCTCTTCCTCTAGAGCTGCTAATTGCTCTTTCTTGTTGAATTCATGATACAATATCTGCATTTTTGACACGTAACCATTTTCTTCCCTTAAAGTTTGATCGGTTCAATATTTAAAGTTTAATATATGATTCATGTCGAAAATACTAGGTTCAATTGAACACAATAATTTGCCTCTGTGCTTTGGGGTGGAAACCAAGTATAGATGGAGCTATATACATTTCAAAACTACTTTCGCAACTCAGATTCATAACGTCTACATTGTAGATCAGTGACTGCCTTAAAGGGGAGAAAACCAAAGCAAAAAAAGTTTCATAACAAAAATGGGACTTCATGACAAAAACTGTGATTTTGGTGTGTACCTTGATGGTAATAGTTCCTCTATCCTTTTTATCTTTGATTTTGAGCATATCATATTTTGGCAGCAACCTTAATTCAATTTCTTTTGGAGTGTCGGATTCAAGCTCATTCAGAGGCAACTTCGTGACACCCATTCGATCATCTTCTCCAATGTCTTCATCAAAGACCTGTTCAAAGTCATGGTTGTGACAAGAAAACAAGAATGAAATCAAAGAGACTGGATTGTCAAAACTAATTTTCTCAAGAAAATGTACAACATCAGAGGGGATATATTCTAGACACAGTAGATTCAATATAATTAATTTTTTAAAATGAGAGATGGATGTAGAAATTAAACCTCTAGGAGAAGAGACTGAGTCTCCTTGTCTTCTGCAATCAACTCAAATGTCTCATCCCAAACAGGATTTAGGTTATTGTCAATGGTTTTTGTCTTAAACTTAAACAGTGGACGAATATACACGACCACATATGGGTCAGATTTTCCAATCATTTCTTGGTTCTTTAAGTTTGTAGCTCTCATTACAGTTACTGTTAGCTTCCCCTGTGGCTTAAGCTCCAAATCGCTGCATGGACACCAGAAACAACGGTTAAGTATTCCGTTAGAATACCTAGCATTTACATTTCATATTCAGAAGAATATGACAGATTTGGAAAGGCCTTGAGGCCATTCAATTGGTACCTAGTATCCACAGGTATGCCTCCAATTGGTACAACGATTCTGTGAGGCCATTCTAGCATATCTGTTACAATTGAATCTACAGTGTCCTTTCAATGAGAAACAACACCAGTGTTAGATTGAGGTGGGAAAGTTTGAAATATAAAATATACTGCTAGAGGCACATTGTTAGTAGCACTTACTTCTATCATGTCAGAAAGTCCAGGAAGAGCTGTTAAGCTTCCACCAACAGCTTTTAAAGTATAATCAATTCTTGGCTTTGGCTGATTGGATAAACAACGTAGCAGTCATTCAAATGTCCAATTGAACACATAAAACAGAATCGTAAGCCAATTGAGAGTTGAGATATTTGAGCAAGATTAAGCATCCAGAGTAATATAACTAAGTGCAAGTTCACACTTCTATCCTTGTTCTTTAAAAAATTTGAGTACACCAGTCAGACCAATTCATGCAATACTATATCCTTGTTCTCATACTGTAATCATGTTCTCTGTTAGTAGAATACTTTATGTTCACTTAAACCAAGAGAATGTCTTAGACCTACTTTAAGGTGGTCTTTTACTCACTGGCAATCATAGCATATCCTAGTTACAAGTCAAGTTACACGATTTTCCATCTAAAAGCTAGACATTATGGCATTCAAATCTATAGTCTAACATCTCATCCAAGATACTGTATCAAAACATAGTTCAAAGAAACTCTAAATGCTGATCTAAGACAGATCATGAGAAATAGCATCCATTTCTCTCTCTCCCTCTCGTTCTCTTGAAGGAGTAGGTCAAATAGATTCCCTTCACCCCACCCCCACGCCACCATGCCACCCACAATTAAAAAATAAAAGGAGAGCAAAAGGAAGAGTTAGAAACAACAGAAACTGAAGAATGTACGAAACATATTTTCTCATAGAATCTATGTGTACCTCAGAAAGTAAAGCAACAACAACAGCAGAAATGCAGGGAATTTCCTCAGCTAGTTGGAATATAACCCGAATAACAGTGAAGACTTGTAGATCTTTCAACTGCAACCAATGTGGCAAAGGTCAGTTCAGCTGCTTCCTAGATAACTCACTAATCAGAGTAAAATTGTCCTCAGCAAATTAGACAGGTGAAGAGTTGAGGCACCCAACCTGAATGGGTATAGAGGCAACCACTGCATCAACTTCTATAACAATATTGGGATCACCGCCCCATCTGAGGTCAATATCCATAATAATTTGACCCTTTTTAAGGTTTTGAACTCGAATACCTGCATTAATTAAGTATTATACATGCTTCCAAAGAGAGAATCACACATGATTAAAGCTTAATGTTGGAGGTAACCTTAAACAACAAGACTTCATCTTTACCAAGGAAATGTCCCATCTAGATAAACTAATTTAATTGCTCAGGAGTATGAATTAATTAGCAACGGAGAAATCACTACGGAATTGCTTATAGATTCTCCGGTAGAAGGTCTAATAAAAAAGAACATAACAAAGTATTTGATAGGTTTATGTTGCTACCTTCAATCTTAGGAGCTACTGTTCCCAAGGACAGTTTGCTGAACTTCAATGACGAAATTCCAGGAGGTCGATAATCTTCTAAAATAGGTTCAACAGAGTCTTTTATGATAGCTTCTCCTGCCTGCGCAATGATATATATAAGAGATCAGATTTATGGTGTCACAACATGGAGGTTGAATAATACAAACACTCGTTACCACGACAAGGAGACTACAAATTTTGCTGGTCAAACAGACTACATATATTAAGGATCAGTGTCATAAATTTCTTGTGAACGCTATCAGTTCTTATAGGAACAAGTTCTCTAATACTCAAGAATCAGTAGAATACTAAGACATGCCGACAATATTGAAAGATATATTCTCTAAAGAGGAGAAAATATTTAGGGATCATTACTCATTAGAAGAGACATTTTTACTCAATATGCTGATAATCAAAGAGAACTTCCAATATAATTAAGTACATCATACCCAAAAAGTTACAAGACCTGTTACAAAGAAAAAAAAATGCACAGGATACCAAAGTTAGGTGCAAAAGCTTACATCAGCAACAAATGGCCACAGTTTGCTTAATTGTTTGTTCAACCATTTGACCTGCCACAGTGAGACAAATATGAGAAAGATCCACTGCTGACACTGTAAGATCAGGAGACAACATCTGCAATGTCTTTCTCGGGTTCTAACATTATGTTCATGAACTAAAGTCATCTTACTTCCCTCTGAAAAACGTCATCATGTAATCCCGACTCCCTCCCTCCTCCTTCCTCCCAAATGAAAAACCAAAAAAGGTACCACAGTCCTAATCATCAGATTCCAAGAGTATAAGCTATCTTCATTAATTTTATCTCTTAAGCTATAAAACATTTTTAGTGTCTACAGAATAGAGATGAAACGTTTATCCAGCTGAGAAAAGGATTAACCAAATCTTTCTTCACATGACAACGATGATAAGACTCTCTTAATCAAGTGTAGTAGGAGAAAAGA